TGTGGAAGACCCTGGCCAGCCTGGAGCCTGTCCGGAGGGCCGTGGGCCCTTGGGGCCGGCCTGCGTGTGCCAGTGTGGACTGGAGCCGCAGCCTGGTGTGACATCTGCACTCAGGCCATCATCTGCCCACCTAGGCACCAGCAAGAGGGAGAGGCAGTACCAGGCCCACCGGGCCTTCGGGGACCGCAGGGGCGGTGTCATCAGCGCCCGCACCTACTTCTACGCCAACGAGGCCAAGTGCGACAGCCACATGGAGACCTTCCTGCGCTGCATCGAGGCCTCGGGTGAGCCCCCCTTTGCTGGCCCGAGACCACGCAGACCCCAGCCTGGGCAGCCCCTGGGCGGGGAGATGTGGGAGTGAGTACAGCATTGGGCCGAGTGGCACAGCTGGGCTCAGCTCACACGTGGTCGTGCCACCTCCAGCTGCTTCCTGGGGCCCTGGCTGCCTGCAGGAAGGCACCCCTGCCCCAACCTGGCCTGTGGACACAGAGCTGCAGGAAGTTGGTGGTCAGTGTCGGTGGGCTGTGCAGTCCTGGGGTCGAAGCTTGGCTCAGGGAGCTGGCCTGTCCTCTGTGGCAAGGAATCCCCCACTGCGGTAGCTTCTGGGGATCGGGGATTGGAGGGTAGGGGAGCAGCCACTGCAGGAGGCAAGTGTAGCTGGGAGGGCCCCAAGCCGCAATGTCCTTTAGCTGTCAGCACAGCCCCGGGCCAGCCTGGCAGCCCAGTGAGGGACCAGCGGTGAGGGGTGCTCAGAGGCAGCCTCCTAACAGGCCCCAGCGAAGTTCCAGGTAGCCAGGCCAAAGCTTGGCCATTATGGTGAGGAGCATCTCCTTGCTGCCCGCCCGCTGTTCTCCGCACAAGAGATCAGGACAGGCACCCTGCGACTTCCACTTCCTCTCTGCCTGGCGCTTCTGAGCCCCAAGGCCCACACACGGGCAGTCCGTGCAGGGAGGAAACGGAGGCCGGAAAGGGCGAGGGGCTCTCAGGGCTGTGTCGAGTGGACAGGCTCCCTCCACACACCTTTCTGCCCCAGTGTGCAAACGAGTCCCGCTGAGCTGCCCCTTCCCAGTCCGCAAAGGTCTCTGGAGCAGCTGGGTGTGTAAGGGCGTTTAGGGGCTGGGTAGACCTGTGCTTAGGGGTCTGACCACGGGGCGGCAGCCAGAGGGGCTCCCCGCCCTCCTTCTCCAACCCTGACCCTCTTCTGTGCTCATCTTCAGGGGCCCTCATGGGGCCCTCATGGCTCTTCTTGGTGGCTTCTGACAGGTGGGGCCAGCGATGACGGCTTCTCGGCCATCAAGCTCACTGCACTGGGGAGACCCCAGTTTCTGGTAAGTACTGGAACCCTCCACCTGCAGAGGCTGGGGCTTTGCTAGCCCTCGGGGCTACTGTGGCCATTAATGGAAAGTACTGGAGGTTGTGAGCAGGGGTTGCAGGGGCTGTGTATGTTGGGGGTGAGGACCCAGAGGCTATGTGGGGACCACAGGAGCAGTGTGGGGACCACCGGAGTAGTGCAGGTGACCATGGGGGCTGTGCGGGGGACCACATGGGTTGCGGGGGTACCATGGGGGCAGTGCGGGACCATGGGGGCTGTGCGGGGACCACGGTGGCTGTGCGGGGACCATGGGGGGCAGTGCGGGGGACCACAGGGCTATGCGGGATCCCAGGGGGCTATGTGGGAAGCCAGAAGGCTATGGGTGGCCCAGGGGCTGTGTGCAAGTCCAGGGCAGGGAGTAGGGCCGGTGTCCCAGACGTGGGCTCAGGCCTGCATTTTAATGCAGCTGCAGTTCTCAGACGTGCTGACCAAGTGGAGAAGATTCTTTCACCAGATGGCCGCGGAGCAGGGGCAGGCGGGGCTGGCCGCCATGGACGCGAAGCTGGAGGTGGCGGCGCTGCAGGTGGGTAGCCCTTTGCCTCCCGGTGGGCCTGAGGGGCAGGGCTCGGAGCAGAGCCCTGCCGGGGAGACTGGCCAGGCCATGGCCCAGGTGGGTTCCCGGGGCCGTTCCAGGGTGGGCAGCTCACCTACTGGGGCTGGTGGGAGGGGTGCCCAGGGTATCTGGAGCAGCTGAATGAAGATGGAGGAGGTGCCCCCGGGGATCCGGCCCTGCAGGATGTGGCAGAAATGGGTCCTGTTCTCACGGATGACACGGTCACGTCAGAACAGCACCACAGACCAGTGGGCACGGAATGTTAGTGAGAGGCCTGGGCCGCAGCCACACTGACTGACGCCTTCTCACGTCCCAAGGAAAGCGTCGCCAAGATGGGCATCGCATCCAGGGCAGAGATCGAGAACTGGTTCACCACAGAGACCCTGGGGGTGTCTGGGTAAGAGCAGCCCCTTCCAAGAGGGAAGGAGGGCCCACAGTGGGTGGCAGTGCCCAAGGGGGAAAAACAATCTCTCTTTAAAAAAAGAAGGTGCCAGGCGCGTGTGTGTGCCCAAGATCCCGAGAGGAGAATGGAGGAGAAGGGATCGCGGCGTGGCCAGCTCCCTGGGGAATGATTTCTCGCTTTCTGTCTCTCTGTCTCTGTCTCTCTGGCAAGGGCATGCACCCTGTAGCAAAAACCTCTCATAAAAAAAAAAGCGCCCCCCACTTGAGTAGGGGAGGTGACTGGGGTGGCGAGGCAGGATGC